GGGGTACCCCTTCAAATTTTGCGAAATTTTCGTTTTTTGCCAATAACTCCCAAACGGATGGACTTAGGGGGGCGTATATAGAACCATTTTGTAGAGAATAACGAGATCTACAATTTCCATGTAAAAACTTTTTGCTAGCATCAATAGTTTACGAGTAATTTGCAAAAAACTGTTTTTTCGTTTTTCGTCAATAACTCGTAAATTATTGATGCTAGCGAAGAACTTTTATATGGAAATTGTAGATCTCGTCGTCCTCTACAAGAAAGGTCGTATACAATTTTCTCGTAAATTCAACGGTTTAGGAGTAATTAAGGAAAAATGAAATTTTTTGCCAAAAGTTCGCCGTTTCGACGCTGGGATGGTCGGATTTTGTCAACATCAATAAAATGCCAAATAATCATACGTAACTCGTTAAATATCGAAATTAGAAGGAAAGGCAACTCTTATTTGAAGCATTTTTCGAAATTTTGAAAAAAAAAATTTTCATCGGCGTCAATACTTAATTGGATATTTCCTTCTATACTTTTTAGCACGTAGCTATTTATTATTAGCATTATTCTTCCGACGTCTGATTTCTTTTTAATTATAGGAAATGCGTTTTTCTAAAGTACATAAACTTTTGGGATTGACTATATAGCCAATACATCCTTAAACGTTGTCATGGTTTCGAAATAGGCTTTTGTTTCACGTTTTTCCACGCCGCCGTTCACGCGTGGCAAGTCTTCTGAATTTTCTGCGGCCGACGCAGAGATAGCACGACAGAAGATGAAATATTCACGCGGAATGCAAATAGAGAGCGTCGAGCGGTGCGTCGCCTCGTCGCACCGAGAATGTCCTTAAGTGATATCGCAACGATCGTTTGACGTTTGAATCGAATCGATCATTTTGGAAACATGTAGTTCACCTTTCTTCACCTTCCATTTTTTCGAGTGCAGTGCATAAAACACGTTGTGACACGCTGGATTCGACGTCTTCCATTCGTACAATGGTGTTCTTTTATTTTTTTTACGAGTTTAATAGTTTTGAATCGGCACGGATATCCAGTATTTTTCCAACTGACCGGACACTGGACCTCGCGACGGAGCGATAACTTTTTTCCTTGGAAAATAGAAAAATTCAAGCGACAAAACGAGAATCTAGCATCGACAATTTGAAACGCGGTCCAGTGGCGATTACGCGCCCCCGGGCTGGAAAAACATTTCGATCGGATTAACCGTACCGGAAACGGACAATCTGCCGCGCTTTTGATCCGATCCGTACGTTGCGCGCAAACCTGTACGTCGAGCGAAGCGTACATTGACACAAACGGTATTTCGCGCTACGAGCTTCCAATGAAAAAAATATTCGCATCTTCAAAAGACGTATAACGTTTTTTACACAGCGAATTCTACCGCTCATAAATTGCAACGGTTCGTTCTGATAAGCACGATTCTGTCTTGGTAGTGGAGGAATTCTAATTTGGAACGAGAGACGGACTCGCAAATATTCAAGGTGATCTTCCGACCCCGGCTTGCCCGGAGTTCTTTCATCATTTTTGGTGGCTGAAATATTTCCCACGTGCCACGGTACACCCTGTATGGAGTTTGAAGAGTGCTGGGCACGCTGGCACAAAACGAGCAAGCAAGCGAGCACAGCAGAAGGGAAGA